CGTTAGTTACGTTTTTCATTCATTCTTAATTCTCTCTTTTAATTCAACTTTAATACTATGTAATACAATTTTAATGCAAATTTAATTCATTTCGCAGTTTTTTTATTTATTCGGTACTATTGGATACTTCTTTAATTCATTATTGATATAAGTTTAATTAACTCTAGATATCATTGTCTTGTCTTTTGTTAGTTACGTTTTCCATTCATTCTTAATTCTCTCTTCTTATTCAACTTTAATACTGTGTAATACAATTTTAATGCAAATTTAATTCATTTTGCAGTTTTTTGATTTATTTGTTACTATTGGATACTTGTTTAATTCATTATTGATACAAGTTTAATTTACTAAATAGGTCAATGTCTGGTCTTTCATTAGTTACATGTTTTTATTCATGCGTAATTCTCTCTTCTAACTCAACTTTAATATTTGTGTAATACACTTTTAAATACAAGTTTAATTCATTTTGCAATTAATTGGTTGATTTGTTACGATTGAATTACTTGTTTAATTCATTATTGATACAAGTTTTTTTCAATTATATGCAGATCAAAGAATGCTCTTTTGTTTGCTACATTTTGCATTCATGTTTGATTCTCTTATAATAATTCAACTTTAATATGTTTGTAATACATTTTTAATTCAAGTTTAATTCATTTTGCAGTTTCTTATGTCTCTTTATTTGTTACGATTAAATTACTTGTCTAATTAATTATTGATACAAGTTTTATTCAGTCTAAAATCATTGACTACTCTACGAAAAAAGGAGAGGAAAAAGAGCAATAGTAAGAAAGGGAGAAAGAGCAACAAAAAAGAAAGGAAGGGAGAATGAATAACAGAAAGAAAAAAAAGAAAGAAAGGAAGGGAGAAAGAGCGAGACAGAGAAAAAGAGAAATTAAAGAAGTTGTTAAAAATGGTAATAATTAAAGAGTATGTTTAAAATAAGTAATTATTTTTTAAAAGGAATCCACTCAAGTAATTAATCCATTTTTAATTGTCATGTTGTGCTTTTTAAAAGTCAATTTGACTAATTTTTAAAATTAAATTAGATTACATTAAATTGACATTTTAAACAAAAAAATTTGATATTCAAAAACTATACGAGAAGTACTATAAGTTGCAATTTCTTGCATAACAATACGATGAAAAAAAATGCTTGTAAAATGTTAGTCAAAGTTCTTATAGTTTGACTCTAAAAAAAGGAAACCATGACAATTAAAAGTGGACAGAGAGAGTAGTAATTACTTACTCCGTTTCATATTAGTTGATCAATTTTTAATACGCGTATAAAGAAATCATAAATAAGAAGATAATTTTACTAATTCACCCCTTAAAAAACTTCTTGAAAATTTCACAAATAAATGTTAACACTCTCAAAAAAAGATTAATTGCAAGGGTAATAAAGAAAAGAATTAATTAAATGTTTTTTTTTATTTTGTAAAGTGGACATCTAATATAAAATATTAATATTATATTTTAAGTAAGATGATCAACTAATATAGGACGGAAGGAATAATTACCTTCTGATACTAATAAAAATGAATTTAGACTGATCTCAAGTCTTGGCAAATTCCAACCTCAGACCCAAAATATAAGTTTGAAACTTCAGATCTCAAGTCTGAAATTAAATTTTTAAATAATATGCAAACTCTGACTATGTTTCTTACATGGGAAATGGGCGTATTACTTCACATTGATATGGGGTTCCTCCTAGTAGGGCATATGCTGACATGTACTTAATTTAATTGAACAAATATGGTCTCCAACTTGTTCAGCACTAAGACAAAGTTAATAAGTAATTAGTTGTTAAGTACTCCCTCCGTCCCATATTATAAGTCACTTTTTCCATTTGCATTTGCATTAAGAAATAAGGTAATTTTACCCTTATGCCCTTAGTTAATGTTTGCTTATGACAACTTTGTAATAAATGATGAAATGTTAGATTTCAAAATTATAAATGCATTTGGATGACTATTTAAATTTTGCTTTTTGGAGCCAAATTTTTTCACCAATTGATCCAAAAAATTTTAAAAATCAAGTTTTTCCCACCTCAATTTTCCTATATATTTTGTGTAAAATATATTTTTTATATTTTTATAAATAAATTCTTTAAGCAAACATGACAACATCACAAAATATTTAAATTCCATTACTTCAAATTGATCTAAATTTTCCTGCTGAATCTGATATTATTGATAATGAAATTAGACGACAAATGAATTTTAGTTCTAGTTCGACAAATCATTTGTTTTTTTATTTAAATGGTGCATAACTCCTTTATTTGGATCTTGATTTTTCTCAATTTGGCCTTCATATGTTTTGGTTGAGTCTTCTATTTTTACATACTTTGAACTTTTTGAAATGTCATCTTCCTTGATAAAATTTGTTGTAGCTTCAACTTTCAAGATTATTTTTGAATTTTTTTTCATCTTTTATTTTTAATTTGTTTGTTGATATTTTTTTTCAAAATCAGATTTTATAGAATAAGTACTGAATAAAGAAAGTAGGTAATTAATGAATGAAGTACTCTCCCAATGAAATTAATTACTTGTAGATTTCCTAAGTTAGTCAAAGTAAATACATTTTCAAGATTAATTAATTAATCAATCAAGGGTATAATGGACAAAATATGATAATTTATGCATAAATTTTATAAAATGACATATATTGTGGTCCAACTTTTTTTGAAGAGAGTGACTTATAATATAGAACGGAGGGAGTATAAGATTTTATAACCCGATATATAGGACGTATTATCTTTTATGTCACTGACCACATAGTGCACTACGTCCTACATAAAAGTTGGCCTTTCAAGACTTGGTCCGCCGAGTTCAAGGGGAACTCTTTAAACTATTAGTCTATCCATCTCAAATTTAAACTATTGGGCCTTTTCAAAATATCCAATCTAAACTTAGCTTCCACAAAAGTGAGCAAAGACGGAGTTAGAATTAAGCAAAGTGAGCAGAAGCAAAGCTAAAATTAGGAGTTTGGGGGTTCTAAATTTTAGGATAGAAGAGAAAAATATTGTAAAACATTAGACAAGGTGACGGCAAAGTCTAGTTGTCTACATAATTTTGTTCTTTATTCTCATTAACGAGCAAAGCCTATATGTCAATTACAAGTGTAGTTTGTTCAAGTGATTGAACATCTTCATCGTCAATTGATAGGTTTTATGTAGATGGAAACACTATTAATCCTTCTTATGTTAAGAAAAAAATAAATCAAAGCCTATATTGATAATAAAGCATGAAAATATAACAAACAAACAAAAAAAAAAGGTGAAAAATATTTCCGCTCTTTTTATTCTTTTGTCTGTGATAGAAAATTAAAACAAATCAGGATTTGTATAAGTCTCATTGCTCAACAAGACATGTACTTAGCTCCTATAGGTGAGGGAAAACTATAGTCTAGTTAAATATTCAAATAGAACTTATTCAATCCATAAATCCTCATACTGAAAAAAAATCAAATATTCCTAACTTTTAAAGTAAAACTGAAATCGATAATCTATCAACTGTATAAGCTATACTTTTGGGGACACCAATAAAGCTTGCTTTAAGAAAATCGTTATGTTCTTGCTAGACAGCTTTTGTTTGTTTCTTCCAAAGTGTCACTCCCTCAAAATCGGGTTAATATCTCAGATGGTCACTCAACTATCCACTTTTGTCTCAGAAAGTCACTCAACTTTTAATTTTCACTAAAAAGTCACCATGTGAGTGACTTTCTGAGGAAAGACTGGATAGTTGAGTGACCATATGAGGTATTAACTCCCTCAAAATCTTTTCGTTAAGATGACACTTATTTTTAAAAAAAGAAGTATTTTTCGTTAAGCTGATGCATTAACGAAATATCAGAATGTCAGTTTTTGGATATCACTATTTTATTCCTCCCCTCAAATATGTACTAAGAATTGTTTTAAAATAGAACTTCGACAAAGAACAATACCCCTACAGTAATACATAAAATATCTCTTTTAACAGTAAATGGAGTGTGTTAATAATGTTTGTACTTTTTTCGTCAATTTTTAATTGTTATGATTTTCTTTTTAGAGTCAAACTATTAGAACTTGGATTAATATTTTACGATGTATTTTTTATCATTTTGATATGTAAAAAATTGCAATAATGTGTAATCTAATTTAACTTTGAATATTAGTCAAATTAATTTTCGAAAAGCACAATATGTCAAATAAAATTGGACGAGAGAGTTTTAGTAATGCTTGCATTAGTGATGCATATATGTTATTTCTTATACATTGTTTGGTTTGATGTATTAAAAACAGTATGCATTGTATAAAATATTTATTTACAAAAATAGTGAAAAAGGTGTAAAAATGTTTTTGAGGGGTAATTGTGTATTTAACCATGCTAATGCATATATTAAATTCCATTACATTATTAATACCTACAAATCCATGGTATTAGTAATACACTGTTCAATACACAATAAAATATATAACTAATATACAAATATTTATTATACATAACATAAAAAAATATATCAAATTAATACATAAAAATAACGAATACATTATTTTTACTTACACCCTACCAAACTATCCTTAAATAAATAAAAGATTGATTCACCAAAAGCCGCCACCAACTTGTGTGTGGCCATTATGTTCTTTCTTATCATCTAAATAGTAATTATATTGGGAAAAAGTAAAGTACGACTCTTTTTAAAAAAATTAATCAACATGAAACAATTTTTTATTTATAATGGACCAAAAGAAATACTGATTACTTTTTTTTATCCAAGCCCCTAATTGATTACTTAGATCATATATTTTCTTTGTTTCAATTTATTTATTTAATTTTAACTTTAAACTTAATACGAATTTTTAAAAATTAAATTTAAATTTTATAATTTTAAACTAAAAATATATACAACATACTAAAATATCTTTTAATCTTATAATCTTAAACATTATTGCGTATTAAAAAAAGAAAGAAGGGAGTAGTTGTTTTTGTTATCACTTTGGCTTTTTCTCTGTTTCCAAAGTGATCCTCTCTGCTTAGTTCTTTCGTAATTTGGATGCTGTAAGTAGTACCACTTTTAATTACTCCATATCTATTGAAGTATTTCTATGGGCTGCATTAACAAAGGATTGGAAGCTGTAAGTATCAAGATCAGGAGTTTTTTCAAAAAGAAAAAGGGGATCGAAAACAGAGACAACAGCATAGCAGAAAGATGGGAGATTTTGAATGGAAAAAACAATTGGGAAGGATTACTTGACCCTTTGGATTATGATCTCCGACGATACCTTATTCACTATGGCCAAATGCCTCAAGCCATCTGCGATTCATTCAACAGTGAAATAGCATCAAAGAATTTAGGGACAAATCGATACTCCAAAAAGAATTTCTTCAAAAGAGTGGGGCTCGACAAAAACAACCCATTCAAATATGAAGTCACAAAATACATCTATGGAGCTTCAGATGTACCAAGTAAAACTGAAAAGATCAAATCATCAAATTGGATCGGATTTGTTGCTGTTGCCACTGATGATGGGAAAGTTGCATTAGGAAGGAGGGATATTTTGATTGCTTGGAGAGGAACCATGTGTCCTGCAGAATGGAATGATGATTCTGACTGGGTTTTGGTCCCACCCACAAAAATCTTTGGAGAAAATACAGATGACATTCTTGTACACAGAGGTTTTTATTCAGTTTATACTTCTCTTAACGAAGCTTCAAAATTCAATCGAACAACTAGTGCCAGAGACCAGGTAAGAAATCTCTCTCTGTTTTTTTTTTCTCTTCAATAAAATGAGGGTACGGGTAGGGGAATGAGAAATGAGTGAGGAGATTACGAGGTGGGGATTTGAATCCTTATTAACAATAAAGTGAAAGTTCAATACTCAATCAACTGATCTATTAAGATTCACATATTTCTGTTTAGATATAGGTTCTATACTTGCAACTTTTATAATTTGTTTACTAAATAGAGAAATATCATGATATAAGTCATAGATTGTAGCTACTTTTGAGACCCTATGGTTTGAAACAAACAGGTTATTGAAGAAGTTAAGCGATTGGTGGAGCAATACAAGGGAGACAAAGTTAGCATTACTCTAAGCGGCCACAGTATTGGTTCATCATTGGCCACACTATGCGCAGTTGACATAGTTGTCAACCAAATCAATAAGGAGTTTCCAGTGACTGCATTTTTACTTGCTAGCCCACGAACTGGAGAGGCCAATTTCAAGAAAGCTTATCAAAATTTGAAAAATCTTCAAATCTTGCGGATTACCAATGCCCTTGATGAGGTTCCGGAAAAGCCAGACCGTGGACAGGTCGAAGGTTCTGATACAGATTGGAGAGTGTATGAACATGTTGGGTATGAACTTAAAATTGATACTACAAAATCAGAGTATTTGAAGAAAGATGTAAATAATCATACTGTGGAAGTTTATCTGCACGGAATTGCTGGAACACATGGAGCAGAAGGAGAGTTCAAGTTGGAAATAAATCGGGATATTGCTTTGGTGAATAAGGAAGCGGACGCATTGAAGAATGAATATGGTGTACCAGTGTATTGGCGGATCGTGCAAAATAAAGGAATGGTTCAACAAGAAGATGGATCTTGGATTCTCAATGATCGTGAGGATGATACTGATCTTTCAGAGTAAAAATACTTTCATTTCTCAAACATAAATTACTCCTAGTATCATTTTTCTAAGGGACGATGTGATCTAATTTTATGCAAGTTTGGACGTTTGCTATAGAAGCAGCCAGGACAAAAGGCTGTAGGATATACTGTTTTTCGGAAATCTTAATACCTAAGTTAATTAATTATCTTAACTTTTACTTTCTTGGTAACTATCGATTCTCCGCCTTGGAATCTATTCTTCTATTTCCCTTTTCTTCCTACTTATTTTGTAAAAACAAAAAGAGAGTATCCTTTTTCTTTTTCTTTTATTGTTCCTTCTTCTTTTTTGAGTAAGACAAGAATACCCTTACTTAGGAGCTTAATCATTGGATAAACTACTTTGCTTCGAAGAGATTATTAACTTGTTGACTGCACACTAATACCCTCGTCATTTCAAAGTAAGTGATATTTTTAGTTTAGATGCACCATTTACAAAAACTATCCATTTCTAAAAAGTAAAACATTTTTTCATTAATCGGTACATAATAAATAACTTGAAAAAGATGTAGTTTTTTAGAGTCTCTTTAATGAAAATCATGTTCATTGAGAAATCAATAAATAAAGCATCTGAATATTATTGACATCTCCTAATATTTTTTTAAAAAAATTAATCAAAATTTGATAATTTAGCTAAATAGTTGAGTATTAAAATAAAATGAAATAAGCGATATCATGTGAAAACGATATCACATTTACAAGACATCTGAATGTGAAATAGCGATGTGTTCATCCTTCCAAAAGAAGCAACAATAAAGTAACGACCACACATTCTTTTCCATAAAAAACAAGAATCATTGACAATTTATAGGCATTAAATTCAACAAGATCTTGATTGGACAAAAATATATGAAATTCTTTGTCTTGCTATGTGAAAACAGCGAAGGATTTCCCATTCTGGTTGCATCGGTTGCTTTTATTTCATCCAACTTCCAACCACTGTGTTGTCTGTTTCTTTTGATACTACTGTGATAGAGTTATACATTTTGTCGGTTCATTTTTACTTGTTATCTATTTCTACAATAAATTTTTATTTATACTTGTCACTTCATTGCTTTGCTAATTCAATTTTTATGCAAGTTCGGACGTTTGCAATAGAAGCGGCCAGGACAAAACGGGTAAAGCTGTAGGCTATATTTCTTCCCAAAGAATCTTAATAGTTCAGTTAGTTGGTTATCTAAATTCTCACCTTATTAGTAAGGATCGATCATCAACTTAGTACATTCTTCCATTTCCCTTTCCTTTCCATCATTTTTGTAAAAAAAGAAGAAGTAATCTGTTGACTTCAGACTAACACTCGTTTCATTTCAAAATAAATTGTGTTTTTAGTTTGAATGCACCATTATAAAAAATAATTATTCCTAAAAAACAAAAATATCTTGAAAAATAGTAGCTTTTTAGTACTTCCTTCGTATCAAAATAAGTGTCACCTCAACAAAAGTCACATTCATTACAAAATCAATAAATATAATATGTAATTTAGAACTATTTATTTTGAAATAAAGAGAGTAACTAAAAAGTACTCAATTTATTTTATTTATATATCTCAATTTGATTACCACAAAATTTAAGAAGATAATAAAAGGTTTTTAATTCTTAGATATGTATAATGAAAACTTGAATCTTGTAGTACTCTAAGTTCTAAGTAACATGTGAGATATCAGATTTTTAAAAAAAATAGTAAATATAAAACATAATAGTTTATAAAATTTATAATCTATTTGGTCAAGTTTTTGAAAAGCCAAGAGTTTTTATTTTTTATCTTGCTAAGAAAATGTTTATTTTAAAGAGTTAATGTATTTGACTGAACTTTTCGGAGGAAAAAAGTATTTTCCTGTATTTTTATTAATTTATAGAAACTGATATAATAGCTTCTTTCGATAAACATTTTTGAAAATTAAAAAGTATTTTTTGAAAAAAATACTTCTATTTTTGTTGTAGTTGAAGTTTAGCTAAGTAGTTGAGTATAAATAAAAGTAAGCCATATCGATCAACATGTCATTTTCCAGAAGCATTATTGAGTTGAGTTAAAAGACTTTTCAGTGTGAATTAGCGATGCGTTCATCCTCCCAAAAATACAACAATAGAGTAACGGGAAAGTATTCTTTCTTTTCCGTAAAACGCAAGAATCATCGACATTTTTTAGGCATTAAATTATATAAGATCTTGATTTTGACATAAAAATAATATACTCCCTAAAAATTTTTACTTCTCAAGTATTTTCTAAAATTTGATTTTTTTTTTACTTGTACTATTTTTTTTCCGTATTATACCCTCAATTTTTAACGTTGATCAGTCAATGTTTTTTTTTAAAAAAATATACTCCCTTTATTATATATTAGTAACTGAATTTATAAGACAATGCATACATTTAAAAAAAAAAACATTTAAGGACATAATTTAAATAATAATTTTTACTATTGTCCTTTATGAAATTATAAATATACTTTTGTAAGTAGTTTAATTTATCTCTTAGAAAACATAAAACTTCAATAAATGAAAGGGCATATATGAAAAAAAATAATCAAATATTCATTTTGAACTTTGAACAATTCAATTTTTTTGACCAATGAAAAAATATTCAAAATGTCAGTTAATATGGAATAGAGAGAGTATTGATTAAATATGTTTGAGACACTATCAATTACTCCATCTGTTCACTTTTACATGTCACATTTTGACTTGATACACTATTAAGAAAACAATTATTTATATAGGTATTTTACCAAACTATCCCTATTAAATAATGTTTAATATTAAGTCTTGGAAAATAATTTGAAGAAAGAGTATTTAATGTTGAGGATGAATATGAAAAAATATAATTGTTTTTTCTTTATATGTCAAAAGTGACAATTAAAAATGAAAATTGTTTTTAGGAAAAAATGACAAGTAAAAGTGAACGAATGGAGTAATAAGGATAAAATGATAAAAACTAACTATATCAATAATTATTTTCTTAATAGATGTATCAAGACAAAATTGATAATCGTTTTTCATTTCATATTAATTGATCATTTCTCTTTTTACACACGTATTAATAAATTATAAATAAGAACATAATTTACTAATTCACCCTCTTAAAATAACTTTTTGAAAATTTTACAAACAAATATGAACACTTTAAAAAAAATTGAAAAATAATATATGAAAAATTAACTAATACTTAATTAATTTCATAAAAAAACAATTATTTTTAATAAGATGACTAATTAATATGAGACGGAGGGAGCAAGCAAATGGGACATAAGGAGTATGAAATTTTTGTCTTGCCATGTGAACGGCAAAAGATTTCCCATTCTAGATTCATGGGTTGCTTTTATTTGATCCAACCACCATGTTGTCTATTTTTTTGTTTTCCACCTGGCGTATGATTATTTGTAGTGGAGTTTTCATTAATTTAAATTGATTTTGCATAAATTCTATCAAAGTGCATGAATCATTGACAATTTTTAGGCATTAAATTATACTCTCGAGGTCTAATAATTAGACCTAATATTAAGAAAAATTTTTAATGACATAATTTAAATATTATTGTCCTTTATGAAATCATAAATATAACTTTTGTAAGTAGTGTAATTTATCTCTTCGAAAATATAAAGTTTCAATAACTGAAATGGCATATTTTGAAAAAAAAATAATTCAAACATTCATTTTGAACTTTGAACAGTTCAATAGAAATAAAATGGTAAAAACTCACTAAATCAATCATTATTTTCTTAATACATGTGTCAAGTCAAAATTTGATACTCCCTCCATTCATATTAATTGATCACTTTCCTTTTTACATGCATATAAATAAGAAAATAATATTACTAATTTAGTCCTTAAAAACTTCTTGGGAATCTTACAAACTTAAAAAAAGAATTAACTGCAAGGGAAATATAGGAAAAATTAATTAATTCTTTTTTAATTTAGTAAAGTAGAATAATTAATATGAGATAATTATTTTTATTAATATAATCAATTAATATGAAACTGAGAGAATAAATGTAAATAGGGACAAAGGAGTATGGATTTTTTGTCTTTGCCATGTAAACGACAAAGGATTTCCCATTCTAGTTTCACGGGCTGCTTTTATTTGATCCAACCACCATGTTGTCTATTTTTTTCCCACCTGGCGCATGATTATTTGTTGTAGAGATTTAATTAATTTAAATTGATTTTGCATAAATTCTATTGAAGTGACAAATACTCCTTACCATAAATACAATTCATACCATTACAATCTTAGTGATCAATCTTGCATATTGTCAGGTCGACTTAATGTAGACATTTTAACACTTCCTTTTTCCTAAATCTTTTCTTTCCATGACCGGATAAAAAAATAGGATCATGGCATATATTTTTTCTTTGGGAAGTGCTAAATGGCCAGAAAATTTAAAAAGCTATAATATTTTTTTAATTTTAAAACAAACTGATCTTGTTTCCATTGTTTTTAGTTAAAATGTATTAAAGTTAAAAGAGTAAAAATATTTAAAAAGGTAAATAACATAGATAAAATATCATTCTGGCCAAAAAGATTTTTCCTTTTTCTTTAAGAAAATGAGATATGTCGAGTAACATTTAAACATTTAAAAATTAACCCTTATTTTTAAAGTAAACTGAAAATAAAAGAAGATTTTATCAAAGTTATTTTTGGTCTCCTAAGGTGTTTTATTCCCATAAAGCAAATCATCATTCAAGATACTTCATGTTGGATATGATATATAATAATTTGAAGTCCGATATAAAATTATAATGACATTGGTTATCCCAGAAATGACCTCTAATAGGAAATAAGTAGGCCAAAATTAGGACTTTATGTGTGGAGTAGAAATTAATATAGCTCATGACATTGCTAAACAGAAATTGGTTAGCAATGTCAGCATGACAGCCAGATCGTATGGAGTGGAGATACCAAAAGGAACACCAAAACTTGTCAAGATAGATGGAATGATGTGCCCATAAAATTGGGAAAACAAGTTTGACTTATATACATCTATAGTGTAAAACGAAAAATAAATAATAATTGTGCTAGACAAATTACACTATAATCACATCAAAAATTATTTACATATAACCCCTCTAAATGATATTTTTACATTGTCTTGCCATGGAGTAGATAATGTATTGCTATGATTATCACATTATTAATTTATTCAAATCATTGTTAGAATCTTGATTTAATCAATTCAATTTCAGCAATTAATTTTATTTAATGTCATATATCTTCTATCCAAATAAAAATCTGAGAAAAAAAAAGTGAAATGAAAAAGGAGACAGATCCGTTCAAAGGTATGGGAATATTTGAGTTATTGGCTAAAGTCATCCCTCAACTATGCTCAAATCTAATGTACATCCTTATATTATCTAAGTGAGCAAAAAACATCCTTATACTATCTAAAAAATAACAAGAATCATCCTTCAATCTATTTTTGTTAAGAAACTGATTGAACCAATAATTTTTTTTTAATTTGGTCATGTCTTGCCACGACGTTACCTAAAAAGAATAAGGATAAGGATAGGAAATAAATCTTTCATTCTCGGAATTTAAATTTTGTGTGTTGTTAGTTCATATGTTTTTTGCATCATCAAGTAAATTGACTTGCAACAATACATAAGTTTTGAAATATTTATACAGTAGGTTCCGATGGTAAGAAAGATTATGTAAAAAAAATCATTTTAAAAATATTACGTCCAACTATTTAGAGGTTTTCTTTAATAAAATATTTAGGGCGTATGTACTATATATACAATGCAATTCGCATTTTATACAATGTACATAAATGCTGAAAATTTAGTGAAATTACGTAGGCGTTTAGTTATAAAAATAAAAAAATAATTATTGTATTCGAAATTTTTGAAATTGGAGTAGTATTTGGCCATATTTTTACTAAGAATATTTAGAATTTCAATATATTTTGTCTGAATATGATTTAAACCCTCAATTTCTAAAAATTCAAAAAAATCACTTAACTTGACTAGCTTAACCATGTGTACATATATTCATTCGACTTGACACATTTTTTGTTGGTGGCGTGAGTTTCTTAAAAAAAAATAGACAGAAGGATGAATCTTGCAATTTTTTGGATAGTTCAAAGATGTTTTTGTTCACTGATATAACACAAGGATGTACTTTAAGTTTATGTCATACTTCACGAATGATTTTAGCCAAAAACTCGGAATATTTATTTAAAGATTTGGCCGCCCAATTAATGAGGATATCTAGAAACTAGAAAGTTGGACCACCACAAGTTTTGCCCAAATCTTTTAGGGGTATTTAAATTCGAATTTTGAACATTTGAAGTCCAATAAAAAAGAAAAATAACTAACAAATACCCTGACAGCAAAGATGTTCAAAGCAACAAAAAAGGAAACCATAGAAACGATGTCCATGCCCAAATTGTTATTAGCACTTTGCATCTTTTCTATGGTTTCTCCAACCATAGAAATGATGCAACAAAATGTAGACAAAAATATGGGCAATATAACAGCAGAAAGATGGAGGATTCTTAGCGGAAATAACAATTGGGAAGGCTTATTAGATCCACTCGACAATGATCTTCGTCGGTACCTCATTCGCTATGGCGAAATGGCACAAGCAGCTCGAGACGCCTTCAACACCAATAAAATGTCGAAGTATGCTGGAAGTTGCCGATATTCTAAGAAGAATTTATTTTCTCGAACTGGGATTGAGATATCGAATCTATTCAACTATGAGGTAACTAAATATATATACGCAACATCATCTGTACAAGTTCCGGACGCATTATTCATAAAATCATTGTCAAGGGAAGCTTGGAGTAAAGAGTCAAATTGGGTTGGTTTTGTTGCTGTGGCTACAGATAAGGGGAAAATTGCATTAGGAAGAAGGGATATAGTGATTGTGTGGAGAGGAAGTGTTCAGACTATGGAATGGTTTAATGATTTCGATTTCATTCAAGTTTCAGCCCCTAAAATCTTTGGTGAAAAATCTGATCCTAAAGTGCATCACGGTTGGTATTCCATTTATACTTCAGATGATTCGCGATCACCATTTAATAAGGGAAGTGCTAGAGACCAGGTAAATTCATTTATTATGTCTTTTCCGAATTTACCATTAGTACTATTTGCAATTTTGGATAGAGTAAATAATAATATCACGAATTCCATTTTAGGTACTTGGTGAAGTTCAAAGATTGATGGAACAATATAAGAAGGAGGAAGTTACCATAACAGTAACAGGGCATAGCATGGGGGCAGCCATGGCAACATTAAATGCAGGGGATATAGTTTTCAATGGAATTAACAAAGGATTTCCAGTCACGGCATTTCTATTTGCAAGTCCTAGAGTGGGAGATGGAAATTTCAAAATGAGTTTCTCAAAACTCGAAAACCTTCGAGCTTTGAGAATTCGAAATGACCCGGATATAGTTCCAAATTACCCATTGTTCGGCTACTCAGATGTTGGTGTCGAATTGGTCATTGACACTAGGAAATCGGGCTATCTAAAAAGTCCGGGAGATCAGAGCAGTTTTCATAATACAGATTGTTACTTGCACGGAATTGCTGGAACACAAGGATCAAAAGGAGGATTCAAACTAGAAGTGGAACGCGATATTTCACTCATTAATAAGTATTTGGACGCGTTAAAAGATGAATACGGTGTACCAACTTCATGGTGGGTTGAGAAGAATAAAGGAATGGTTCAACAACAAAATGGATCCTGGATTCTCGTGGATCATGAAGATGATGATTTTTAGTTCTTTTGCGAGAAAAATAATAGATGTTAGATTTATGAACAGGAAGAAATAATATAGTATCCGATTTTGATTCCATGATTGATTGGTCCATCATGTAGACACGTATGAGAGGATAAATTTTTTATCTTTTGGGTTATTTGGAAGTAGGGCCAGATACGATTATTTGGTTCAATATATATACATAAAAAATACACTGCAACAAAAAAAATTAAAAATTGCAGTAGTTATTTAGCTGCAATAGTATTTTATATAAATGTCATTACGAATGTGATAATATTAGCAATTGACGTTAAATGTTTTTACAAATTATAAATATTGTCGTTAAAAAAAAATCTATCTCCACTAAATAGCTCTTTTATTGTTTGTTGCAAGTGATACAAAATGGATGACTAATGCATTCTTGCATTGACGAATGCTTTTTGTTAGTTACGATAATAACGAAACAATAAACGGTACATTTTGTTTCTTTGCTTGACAACTCGTGACTCCCATTACTAACTTTTTTCATCATAAGAATCAAATGTTTCACTTCACTCACATAAATAAAAAATGTTTTTATCTGTTTGAACTTTATATGAAAGGTATTAAAGTTAAAAGGGTAAAATATGTTAAAAAGGTAAAAAGGATTTTTCCTAAAATAAGAATGGAAACACAACCCTTCTCTGTGTTTCTTTAATTTATTGTTTGTAACGTTATAATTTTCAAAAATTCTCTTGAATTTTGAACAATTAACTTTTTTTGAATTAAAAAAAATTCAACAATTTACTTATTTTGAAATAGAGGAGTATTGAACTTTAATTCGCCAGTATACCCCCAGGTTTGATGCAAACCTAAGGCCTGCAAGTTTTGACAAGGCAAGTACTATAATAATTGCTTCAACATCGGTCTTAACAGTATGCATTTGATTCAAGAAAATTAATCAAATGCATCCACTTTATTTGCTGTATCTATTTATTTGTCTATTTTTATTTCATATCGTGATTTACTATTTTATGGCTATTAAATGATAGAATTTCAAAATCAAGTTTACTCATTAAAAACATTCAACCTTTTTTTTCAAAAATATTAATTTTCTAAATAAATTAAATATATAATAAGTAAAAAGTAGTATTATCTTTTCTTAATTTACCAAAAATAAAAAGTAAAAAGAAACCAGTAAAAAGGGACCGAGGGAGTACTTAACATTCTATGCAAGCAACTCCCTTTCACACAATTCAAAAGAAGGATAGACAAACCTATCCTTGTTACATGAGGTGGGAGATGACCCACTGCTCTACCCAATTTGACATCACTCAATCAATCTACATCCCTTTTATTTAACATAAAAATAAGACAAAACATATATGCAGATCCTTAAACTTATTTCTAAATTTTATTTTGGCACTTCAACTCAACCTTGTTCCTTTTTAACTCTTTAGTTCTAATTTTTATGTTTCATTTTGACACTTCTAAGTGATGTGGCAGAGTGTATGCATCACACTTTCTCTAAGAGAGTGAAAGAAAAAAAAAATAATAATAAAAGATTAACCTTCAACTCTATTTTTTTTTATGTATAATTTTAACACAAAATACTAATTTTATGATTTCTTTATTTCTATATATGCTCTTCAATTGCAATTTTGCATTTTAAAAATTTTCGTTCATCCGTTAGTTATTGTAAAAAATTCAAATTGACGGATGATCATTGAATTTTTGTTAAAAGTAATAATTTCTTTTTGAGAGTTTCCCTGTATTTTTGCGTGAAAAATAACCGACGAAAGTGCGCCAATTTTCTTTCTTAAGAAAATCAATGACAACCCAACGAAGTTTATCGAGTTTCAACATTTTTTTATAGTATTATTAATTAGCAATAAACATGAGTTTTTTTTTTACTCGTATTTAGTTAAATGAAAAATTAGAAAGTTGGTATTTGAGTTAGTCCAAATAGATTAGATATGAAAAAAAATATGTGGTGTTATTTAATTGAATTAATTGTTTTAAAAAGAAAATCAACACACTTTTGTCGATTATTTTTAACACAATAATGTACAGAAACTCTAATTTTTATTTTTATGTTCATCCATTTTTTTTGTTAAAGATATGACGTTGATTTTTAAAATGAAAAAGTGAAAATGAAGAACATAAAAAAGAAGAAGAAACTTGTCATTAAAAATACAACATAAAAAGTTTCTTCATAAAAAGTGTGTTGATTTTCTTTTTAAAACAATTAATTAAATTAAATAACAACACTTTTTTTTCCATATCTAATCTATTTGGACTAACTCGGATATCAACTTTCTAATTTTTCATTCAACTAAATACGAGTAAAAAAAACTCATGTTCATTGCTAATTAATAACACTATAAAAAATGTTGAAACCCGATAGACTTTGTTGGGTTGTCATTGATTTTCTTAAAAAAGAAAATCGACGCACTTTCGTCGGTTATTTTTCACTCAAAAATACAGGAAAACTCTCAAAAATAAATTGTTACTTTTAAAAAAAATCAATGATCATCCGTCAATTTGAATTTTTTACAATAACTAACGGATGAACGAAAATTTTTAAAATGTAAAATTACAGTTGAAGAGCATATATAGAAATCATAAATTTAGTATTTTGTGTTTAAATGGTACATAAAAAAAATAGAGTTGAAGGGTTAATCTTTTATTTTTTTAAGAAAATACTTTTTTTTTTTTTGTATTTAACTCTCTTAGAGAAAGTGTGATGCACACTCTTCCACATCATTTAGAAGTACCAAAATGAAACATAAAAATTGGAGTTAAAGAGTTAAAATGAAACAAGATTGAGTTAGAGTATCAAAATGATATTTAGAGACAAGTTTAAGGGTGTGCTACATATGTGTTTGGCCTAAAAATAATAATGCACAATTTAACATAAACATATGTGGTTCACATATGCTCATCACATGAATCAGTCATCCTCACGATCCATTGGATCATTTCTCAATATCATTCACCAAATAGTTATAATCTTAAAAATATATTTTATTCAATATTTTTGAAAGTGACTTTCTAACTTAATAACTATTAGTTGAATAACTTTATGAGAAATCAAGCTAAGTCTGATGATCGATGAGAATCCAAGATCCATCTTCTTGTTGAACCATTCCTTTATTCTTCTCGATCCACCATGCAGTTGGTACACCATATTCATCCTTCAGAAAGTCGCCTTGCTTATTCACCAGTGCAATATCTCGATTTATCTCCAGCTTGAACTCTCCTTGTGGTCCATGTGTTCCAGCAATTCCGTGCAGATAAACTTCCAGCATATGACTAAATATGTCTCTCTTCAAGTATTCTGATTTTGTAGTATCAATTGGAAGTTCGAAGCCAACATCTTCATACACTCTCCATTCTGCTGCACAACCCTCTACCTGTCCACGGTCTGGCAGCTTTGGAATGAAATCAGAGGCATTGGTAATCCGCAAGATGTGAAGGTTTTTCAAATTTTGATAAGCCTTTTTGAAATTGGCCTCTCCAACTCGTGGGCTAGCAAATAAAAATGCAGTCACTGGAAACTCCTTATTGATTTGGTTGACAACTATGTCAACTGCGCATAGTGTGGATAATGATGAACCCAAGCTGTGGCCTGTAAAACTGATGCTAACTTCCTCCTCCTTATATTGATCCAACAACCTTTTAACTTCTTCAAGAACCTGCCAGTTTTAATTTTAAGGGGTCAATAATTATAGAGATTATCAATCGAAAATTAAAGTTGCAAGAAATTACTACTAATTTCGTACCTGATCTCTAGCACTGGTTGTCCTGTTGAAATTTGAATCTTCGTTAAGACAAGTATAAACTGAATAAAAACCTTTGTGTACAAGAATGTTATCCCTATTTTCCCCAAATATTTTTGTTGGTTGTACTAAAGACCAGTTATTGTCATCGTTGAGTTCTGATTCCGTCATGGTACCTCTCCAAGCAATCAAAATGTCTCTCCTCCCTAATGCAACTTTCCCTTCATCAGTAGCAACAGCAACAAACCCAATCCAATTTGATTCTTTCATCTTTTCAGTTTTACTTGAAGGTGCATACACATATTTGGTGATTTCATAGTATTTGTTTTTGTGGAGTCCCACTCTTGTGAAGAGGCTCTTTTTGGAGTATCGGCTTGTTCCTCTGTATTTTGAAGCTTTCTCATCATTGAATGAATCGCAGATGGCTTGACACATTTGGCCATAGTGAATAAGGTATCGTCGGAGATCATAATCCAAAGGGTCAAGTAAGCCTTCCCAATTGTTTTTTCCACTCAAAATCTCCCATCTTTCAGCTATGCTCTTGTCTCTTGTTTCGATCCCCTTTTTGTTTTTCAAACAGCTACTGATATTTCTACTAACAACCTTCCAACCTTTGTTTATGCAGGCCATCTTTCTTCTTGTTGTGATAAGTCTCAAGTCTGAAGAAGGTGTGGTTTTGTTTCATGATATTCATATTCATATATGAGTACAAGAAATACAATTGGCGAATGGAGTGTTGCCACAACTCCCCAACACAGCTCTTCTCATTTTCCCCACCATTCAACCTTTTCTTTTAGGGTCTGTTTGGAAAACCGCCTGATAATTGGAATTGCTGAGATAATAATTATCAGTCTAATAATTACACAATTTAATAATTACACTGACCTGTTTGATTGTCACTGTTTTATTTAGAAAATATATGTAAGAGAAAAATGACTAAGTTTTGAAAAATCAATCAAACTTATGATTTAAGAGAAATCGAATTTCCAAAAAGAACATAGTTGCCACTTAATTTTTAGTAAAAATCAAGAAAAACTCTAAGGTTTCCAAAAGATTTAAAACAGATAAAATCAATTGAAAATAAAATGGTTCGAAGGTCGATGTACATTCCGAAAAGGTGTTAGGTCCTCGGAATGCCCGCTAACTCGCGGTTGACCGGCGATTTGACCAAAAATGATTTTGACTAATTTTGAAATTTTAACTAAGTAAAAGAAAACTCATTTATTTAACTAATTTTTGAAATTTTTAACTAAATAAAAGAACTCATTTTATTTTAACTAATTTTTTGAAAACTTTAACTAAGTAAAAGAACTCATTTGCTTTAACTTATTT